ATGAAGTATATGAAAGGTGTGCTTTTGCTCTAGAGTTATTACATAATTGGTAAGCCTCTTCAATCATAATCATTTGCATGATTGTCTGCAACAGATATGAATTCAATGAATGCTTTATCTTCTTCAAAATATGTCCATTTATGAAGTTTTACTGGGAATTTCTTTGGAGAAGTCGGTTTAATCTGTCTGATAGGAAACTACAAAACAAACAGCAAAAGTGAGAGGGGCAATGTCAGTGCCAGGCTGCCTACCAGCACAATTAGACAACAAAGAAACTCATGGATTTTTACCAGGATTGTGGGCATGCTTCTCCAGGAAATTTGTGCACTATAGGTTTTTTGGAATGCCACTCCCAGCATTGAAAAATAATATTGGCGTACGGGTGGATAGAAATTGCCCGACACTGTCATGAGTTTATTGATATATGAACAAGAGGTATAAAATAGAAGGAACACATCTCCTATACAGACTTACAGAAATACTAAACACTGACTTGAGGGGTTGCAATGCCCAGCCTCATATGCCTATATGGACAGAAATTCTCCCAGGCAAAAAAGCATTAAAATACAATGTTACTGTTATTATGATAATAACTTTTAGCATAATATTTAACATATTGTATTATTAAAAATATACAATTATGTTTTCGTGTAGTCGTACTGTATTTTATGAATTATGTTTGTAAAAACCTTTGTACTTTTACATCTTGGCATTGGTGATGTTCCAGGACTCTGAAACAAAGTTCGGCTTGATGTTGAATTCTTCAAACGAGAAATTCTGTGTCTCTTATTATTAGGTTTCCCTGGGGGTATCACCTTCACTGAATGACTGAAGTATATACCCGTTTTATTGTATAGTATCATAACTGTCATTTCCAGTTTACTCCAAAATAGCCGAATTCTATAATAAAATGAAAAACATACAGTCAGTGCAGGTACAGTAAACATACAAAGCATATCTAACCTTAGAAATTACATTAAACTTAAAATATGTAGGAACATATATGCATATGTTTCAAAATTATCATGGAAAATAGTGATTTAGTACAATAGTTTCCTTCGCGCCATGATGATTATCAGGAGGTCTATTCCCGCCATCGGCGATAGAATATAGCGAAAGTACCCCATTTTCGAACCGCGATTACTTGTCGGTTTAGTGGAGCAAACTCATGTTTTAAAGTAACAGTAGAAAGAAAAAATCTTCCCGAATTCGATGACGTGTTTTGTTTTTATTTTCCTCAAAAAAAAGTGAGTTTGCTTCTGCAATATATCAAGGTCATTTTATTGGCGTGTCCACTCACCCGAATCAAGCATAATTACAATACGTAATTAGCATAAGTAAAAAGCAATTCCTGTGCCAAACAAGTTAAAAATAGTTTAATTAGGGTCTTAAATAATGCAACTATAAAAACATACCTTCGAAAAAACGAGATAAACGGAGCCAAAATCGCAATGTATTTCAACAACTTTTCGCCAAACGTTCGTTGAAAATCGTAATTGTGAATAATAATGAGACGCAATGCATTGTGGGAAGACCCTCATTCCTCCTCTGATGGGATGCCATGTGCATCTGGTTATTGTGTTTTAACTTCAATTGAAGGAGTTCAACATTTTGTTGACTATTTTCAGTTAACATCAGGTTATTGTGGCCCAATTTGTGCTGCGCCATTTGAATTAAAGGGTGTTAAGTTTAATAAAAGACTTGACTTGTCAAATACGAATAATACAGAATGTAGATTAATTGAACAACATGAAACGCATAAGTCCGCTGAAATTCAAAATAACAACATTGCTCAAAGGAAGAATGATTTACTTGCAGAAAGAAAATCTATACTTGAAAAACAACGTGAATGTATGAGAGTTCTTAGAAAGAATGAGTCTTCAAACCAAAGGGAAAAAAGGTTAGCTAAAATTAGATCATATAAGAAACATGTAGGCAAAGCCAAAGGGACTAAAGATGAGTCAGTTGAAGAAAGAAATTCAAGTCTTCAGAGCAAAGGGGAAAAGAGTTACTGTAAGTACCCATATTACTGTTGATATGACTCAGCTTATAAGAGATTTTCACAGCTCTATATCTTCAGGACCTTTATATGTATGTATTGCTGTGATCAGTTGTGGTATAAACACAGTGTATGTCCTGCTGACCGAATTAGGTTGGTACCCAGATATAGTTAATGTCCTCACCGTTTAATAAATATATATATATTGAGATATTTAATATAACGACACGCATAAGAACACAAGGTTTGTGGGGTTATGGAAGTGTGGGACAACTGCTCTATATACTGTATTTTTTATCTGCGAAGAGCTGGGTGCTGAGCGGTTCCCAGAGCATATACTCGTATTGAAAAGCTGGATCTTGGGGAAAGTCGATTAGGACATATACTGATTTGCAGCTGGGTCCTAATCTGCCCAAGACATATACTTTTACGGATTTTGAGCTGGGTCCTGAGTCGGCTAGAACATATACTCCATTTAGAGCTGGGTCCTAGCCTGCCCTACAAGACATATACTCTGAGCTGGGCCTTGGGAAAAAATGATCAGGGAAATATTTCTTAGAACACTGATCTGGCTCAGCACATATACTCATATGCAGAAATAGAGTGATTTTTGTAAGTGGGAATTGGCTGTATGCCAGGTTGCCAAATTCCGTAAAGAAAACGTGAGGTCTATGGTAAAATTGCGACCTCATACTAGAGCAATTGCCTCAAACACTTCATTCTTTATTTATTATTTTATTAAATACATAATAACATTAATATAACAGTCTAGTGAATGTTGATAAGCGTTTAATATCCAACGAAGATAATATTTATATATAGATCTAAATATAGTTCAATGTTCCCGAGAATTCAATATCACTCCCTAGGCGGGCCCATAACATACCGTAATTACTTCCAAGTACCATCTTGTACCATCTCGTTACATCAGGGAAAAGGCTGGAGCATGGGGTGGTTGGTGGGTGACTCTTTAAATCAGTCTTTACAGCTCGCAATCCAAGTAAGAATGATATAGGCAGATAAAGCTAACTCGGATATCTGCCCATGTTTCACTATAGTTTCATTGTTATAGTTATGAATAGGTCAAACATAGTGGTTTGGACAATAATTAATAAACGATACTGGGTGCAGTAGCCTACGGGTTTGGCAAGCAAATAATGAAAGTCTGTGATAGAGTCTTCCTTTGTTTAGACAATAGTAGCTTTCGTGTTGGCTTAACATAGACATTTTAATTTTTAGGTCTAGCGCATTGAGTATCGTCCATTAACAATAATTTGTACTCGTAAAAATTACCATTTAAATATCTACAAAACATTAAAAGTGTCGATAATGTTGAGTGGCTTTGCAACACGTGTAGCAATCACTTGAGAAAAAATAAAGTACCACCATGTGCACTTGCAAATGGAATGAAATTTCCTGAAAAACCAGCTTTCTTTGACCTTAATGAATTAGAATGCAGACTTATTGCTCCACGGTTAGCATTCCAAAAAATATTTCAAGCCCCCAGAGGTGGACAACTCAAAATTACAGGAAATGTGGTTAATGTACCAGCAGATGTTAACAATACTGTAAATATGCTTCCAAGATTATCACATGAAACTGGTACTATTAAAGTTCAATTGAAACAGCGATTACAATATAAACGTTCTGCACTTTCTTTGAATATAAGACCACGCAAAGTAATGCAAGCAGCAGCTTGGTTAGTCAATACTAGTTCTTTATACCAAGAGCAAGGAATAACTCTTGATCAAACCTGGCTAACAAGTTTTGAACCAAAAACAGTTTCTGATAATTATTGCAATGAAAATACAAATATTTCGGGTAATGATTTAGATACCGGTACTCCAGAAGATGAATGGAGTGAAGACGAAGCAGAAATTCCTGCTGGTATATCTGACAGTATGTTCATGGGCGTACCGGGCGGGGGGGGGGAGGGGGCGGCAGCCTGGACTGTTGAGCAAGCAAAGGTGAATCGAAGACCCATATTCGCTACTCCGATCAGGCAATATTGGCAAGGGAGTGGTCATTACATTGCTATATGGTGGATGGGAAAATAAGGATTGAAAACTTTTTTGACCCCCCTCCAGACTGAAGGCAAACTTTTTGTGCCTCCCCCCTCATAAAAGTAGAAAATTTTTTGACCCCCCCCCCTCCCTGTGTGGATTGGAAAATTAACAGCAATGAAACAGGTGTGCGTTGCAGGTAAAGTTAGATATTAGGACAATCTGTTTAATCTAGCTCATGATGTTTTACCCTGGTGAATATAATTCAACCATATATGATTAAGAAATATATATTATGTGTTTACTACTTTGCAATGCAACATTTGTCCTACCCTAACCCATGACCTGTCTTCATACAGCGAAATTATTTGAACACAGGGTTTTTTTAAGAACTTGTCTGGGGGGTGGGCATCTACAAAAAGGGACCATACTATATTGAGTGTGGAGAAATGACAGTTGGTTGTTGGTGACACTGGAAAAGTTTGATGTGGTATCGTATGTACTAGTAGGGGGGTCTGGGGGTATTCTCCCCCCGAAAATTGTTTGTATTTTTCCACTCTAGAACTGAAATGTGAGCATTTTCTGAAACAGATTTTTGGATATACAGCGTTACATTGTGTGTTGATAGACCGAATCTGATCAGTTAAGTGTACTTGCATGGTATGTTTATGTAAATACCACGACTGGGTCACTCAGGGTAGAAAGCTTGTTAAATGTAGTGCGCCCAACTCCCACGATCGCGAGGCGCTACCATGGTTGGCGCCGAGCTGGGAAATTTTGAAAATTTTGGGTCTCTAGATCGTTGGAAATAGCATTTTCAGAGTCTGTCTTCTTTTTTGCTATTTGTGATAATAGAAATCAGAACTCTAGACGTGGTATTTAAGTTCAAAAACTTTTATGACCCCCCCCCCTTTCTCTGTGTTAAAGCTTTTTTGACCCCTCCTATTTATAAG